ACACCACAATTGTGAAATTTTAAAACGAGTTTCCAACCTTATAATTAGATTATTTTCAACTGTATCTTTTATTTGTTCATCATTGTTTGTTTTAGTTCTTTGTAGATTGGCGAATTTATATTATTATTTGAGGTTTAACACGATTGATCTTAAGCGGAAATGCATCTAAGATGACTTGGGATATGTTACTCATCCTACATTTGTCTTTAAGATTAATTTTTGAAAGGGATCCAATTTGAACATGACCCAACTAGATTTTTTCCTGATATTAGTATATGTTATACCTTTGATAGTGCAGGATGGCAAAACATGATTTGTGTAGTAGACTTTAAATAGTACCGATAAAGGTTGAACTATTTTAATGATGATTCCCAAAAAATCATGTAAAAAAGCAAAAAAAAAAAAGGACAAAAAGCAATTCCATATTAGGTCCCACTACTATAGTTAATAGCAAACATATAATACTAAATATCAAAATACTCACAAACTTATCAACTACTGAAATTTGTATCCCTTTTCAATGGTTCTAAGTCATTGTCATGTGTATTTAATAGAATTTTAAAATTAAATATAGGTAAAATATTAGAAGATGTTGTTTGTATAAGGTGTCAACCATAATAATTAGAATAAGGTGCACCTAGGAAAAGAGTTGGGTCTTAATTGGTTAGCGTTTCACGATTTGCAGCGCTACGTCCTGGGCTCAATTCCTACCAACGTTGGGGCTCTCTCTCCACTTACTCACCTAAAAAAAATAAGGTGCACCTCCAAACCTTGTCGAAAAATGTAATCTCAGAGCTGAAAGTCTATATGATAGTCTAAAAATTATTTTCATCAAATTTAAAAAAATATGATGCTGATTAAGCAAATATATAAATATTTAAAATTCTAAAAAAGTCTAGATAATATGTTAAAAGATAAACTATTTTCAGGATTTGAAATATATATTTTTAGTATTGAAAGGTTTTCTAGTACTATAATGGATTTTTGTGATACACCAACTTCTTCAATATAAGCACATGCCAAAATATAGGGGGTAATATAGTTATATTACACAAGAACGAAGGGTATAATAGGCATTTTTTATGTGTAATTTTTATCTTGGTCTCCTCGTCAAATCCGTTAGTTTCCGACGTCATGTACTTCGGCTTCCATTACTGAACGCCGTCATCCGCACGTCCACACACATTTCCATAATTGGAAAGCTTGGTCTCTGCAGTGTGTGGTCAACGTTGAATAGGTCAGATCAAATTCCATATTTGACCATCTTTCCTAGGTGTCACCTTTTAATCCGTTCGATGGGGCTAGGTGTGAATCCGACGGTAGTTCGTCTTAACTTTGCTGCTAGCCAACTTAACGTAAAATATTTTAGGTTTGTTTGCAAACGCTTGAGTCAATGTACATATTTTTTACTAAAAATAAATGTGTATTTTTATCAAATAATGTATTTAATATTTTGGAGCATGTGCTATGTTCCAGAAGGCGCATATATTTACATTTGCTCTCTCTAAAGAAAACTTTTCGGTTTGAAATTTCGGGGTCCAATTAAAAATCCTGATGTCATCATCAACTAAAGTCTTTATTTCTACCGTATAGAGTCGATTATTTGAATCCTGACTTATTATTTTACATATCTCCAATGAAATCGTAAGTCTTCGTATCGTTTCTAACTGCTTTTAATCATGTCTTTTTTGCGTTTATCCCTAATCATTTTTTGGCCTATAGGAACTAACTCGCTCTTATTAACAAATGTTGTACTGAGTAAGTATTAAATTAAAAAAAAATAAAAATCATGAGGTTATTCTTTTTTAATAAAAAAAAAAAAGATTTTAAGTACTTCAACACTTAGATTCATAATCATCATAATCAACACTATCTAAGCTTTATCCTAATTACTTAGGATTGGAAGCAGGATTCATGAAAAGTAAGCAACAAATTTTTTATGTTAGCTGCCAACCTTACACAACCCTCCTCCTTTCTTTGTGCTTGAGACCGGCATATATGATATGGCTTGGTTGCATTATTTTTCAATGCACATGCAATATGCGATTAATTTTTTACTTCCTTTTTGAAGTTAGTCACCAAATTGAAACAAATGCATCCCCAAATATGGGGTCCTAAAAATACTTTTGGGTTGAGTTTCCCTTGAAGCGAAGGAGTAGATGGACCGTATGTTTAAGAATTGTATACAATGAGGCTATTTACTTTTGATACAAAGATGACACAATTATTTTTAATCATCTGATGTGAAATTTGATAAATTGGGTGTATTACAAAGTTTGAGAAATTTTTTTTTGAATTTTGAGCCCAATCAATGAAATAAATGTAACCATCTAATTTCACATCCAATAATCAAGATTAATTCAGTAGAAAGACATACCCATACCCATTTTTTCAAATAATTCGGGAGGTATTAGTAGGGTGGTACAAATAATAATAAAAACCACAACATAGTGACTAAAATGTGGAGGTGTTACATCACGACCCGGACCCCTTTCCCTATTTTTTTATATATTTAAAAGAAGAAGATGTTCATGGAGGATCATGAAATCGTTGGCATTTACTTTTTATTACTAAACAAATATAAAGAGAGAAGAAAGAAGGGTATGGAATCATAAGTGGTTGCCGTTAATCAATAAAAATAAAAGGCTTGAGGAATGATAACAAGGCAAAATGCGGCGAATGGAAAGAAAATTATGAGATTGCTAACGACGACTTACAAGAATGCAATGAATTAAGATTTCCCCATGTTCAAAAATTAAATATATATATAGAGAGAGGGATGGCACCTTCAAAGTTCAATGGAAAATTATAGTTTAATGTCTCTTCAAGGAGAGAGAGAGCCGTGGCACCTTCAGAATTCAATGGCGAATTATAGTTTAATGTCTCTTCATGACAAGAAAGAGAGAGAGAGAGAGAGAGAAAAAAAAACTTCAAGGTTCAATAGGGAATCAAAGTTCAGTATTATATGTTTAAGGTGGTGATTGACTAAGGGATCCAATCGCCCAGGTTTTCTTAAGGTAAATACGAGAGAGAGAGAGAGAGAGAATCCCAAACATTAGGATTACCCAAAATTATTAGTGAAAAGGAAAGGTAATGAGGAGAGAGAGAAAGAGGGGTGGGGACTTTCTAAAGTTTAACAAGAGAGCGATCGAGATTAAGGGTGGCAATGAACCGGACCCAAGGGGTGGACCCGATCCGGGTCTGGGTATGGGTCTAAAAATTGAATTTTGTTGGTCCAGTTCGGATCAAATTTTAGACTTGAACACTATTCTGTTTTGGTTTTAGGTCCAAATTTTGGACCCCGAGTTCAAATCTTGAACCCAAATACTATTTCAGTCTGAGTCTAGGTCAAGATCCGGTAATATTTTTTGGGTCCTAATATATAAAATAAATTTAAATATAATTAAATACACAGATATTTTAATTTTTAGGTCGGTTTCGATGAAGTTCAGTTTGGGTTTGCGTCCCACACTATATTCTGAGGTCCAGTTCCAGGTCCGGGTTCGTTGAATTCGGATCCGGTCACGTCCAAATCGAAGCCTCATATCATCTTTTCACCCGACCTGACCCGTTGCGACCCCTAATTGAGATGGGGAATTTCTTTACGTTAACATGTTTCATTGAGAGGGTGGTAAAAATTGGTAACTAAACAGGCTTTTGAAAATAGAGAGAAAGAGAGAGAGAGAGAAAAGAGGAACTTGTTTTTGCTAGAGCGTGGTTGCATAGTAAGCCATTAGCACTCAACTCAAAAACAATGAGAGAGAAAAATATAAGAGATCATGGAATGTTGTTTTTTTAAGTTTAAACTATGAGACAGAGTAATTTGTTTGAGATTAATTCTTAAAAAGAAAGTTTAACATTCAAAAAAAAAAAATTGTTTGAGATTAACAAACACATCATTAAACAAAGAGCATCAGATCCTATCAAAACTCCGAAGTTTAGCATGCTTGAATAAGAGTATACTAAGAAGTCTGTGTATTACAAAAACCAATTGAGACAAACAATAAATTTGGCCTTTTTTTAAAAAAAAAAAAAAAAAAAAAAAAAAAAAAAAACATGCCCCAAAAAATTTCTACTTCCACACAAAACCACCTGAAACAAAACAGGAAAATTTCCCAAAAAAAAAACCAAGGAAATTTTAGTTCAACACAAAAACGAAATGAGACAAATAATGAAACTCACAAATTAAATAGAAAATTTCCAAAACATACCTAAAAGATCATCTATTTAACATTTCACTATTTTCAACTATTAGAATGTACATTTTTTGAATATTTTTAAAATAAAAATAAGGAAAAAAATGAATAGTTCATCTCTTAAGTGCAAATATCTCCCATAAAAATGAAAAGCCCCACAAAAATTCTATATATTAGAAAACGTGAAAATATCAAAATGTCATTATTAAAAAAAGAGTAATGATCCTATGAGACCCTCCCACATTTATGTGTATAGGACTCCAAAGGATCGCCTTTAATTTTAGCACAGATCGTTTTTTTTTATATCTGTACTAAATTTAATAGTAATCTTTTGGGGTCTTACACACATGAATGTGAGAAGGTCTCATATGATCATTACCCTTAAAAAACAAATAACAAAATTAAAAAAAAGCCTTAAAAAAAAAAAAAAAAAAAAATTAGCCCAAAAAAGAGAGCCCGTGAATAATTGGGTCTAGAGATAATTTAAAGAATTTTGATATTTTTCAACTAAAAATATTTTGTCAATTTCTCTTGGAGAGTAAGGTGGCCCCTACGATCACTGACGTCATCCTAATCCTAATCCGCCTGCGTGGCACTTCTGCATTTCATAATATGACGTCATCCGGTGCGGCCACGGGTTTGACCTGCCTTCCCGTTATTAATCCCACGTGCAACAATGAACCCGGCCGCAAGTTGCGCCCCCATTGAAATATCTGAGAAATGCCCGAAACAATTAAAATATATCCAAAATCATTTAATATTTCGGCAAAATTTTGAAAGGGAGCCCCTATAAATTCGGCCCTCACCTATATTTTTTTCGGTTCACGACACTTACCCGACTAGCTGTACGGAACTCTGAGATCCCCCTCTCCTATTCCCGGTTTAACCGGTCACACTTGTACCGGCAAGAGAAACAATAGCAGGATATCGCCGGATTACTCCCCATTTTGCCGGGAATTTCCTATATTTTTCGGATTACCAGGGACTATCGCCAATTTTGAGTGGATCTTTATTGTGTCTATTAAATTTTTGCCCCAATTTTAGCCACGATTTTCCAATTTTGGCCGGAAATTTAGCCCTATCTGGATATTAGCGGAGAACGTTTGTCGGAAAATGTACGGATGCGACACTTTCACCGCACTGGAATCGATACGGCGCCACCTGCTCGAGGATCCTGAGCAAATCCTCGATTTCCCGGCGAACTCCACCCTTTTACCGGTGACTCAGCCCGCTTATCCGGCGAGCTTTTACCGGAGCTCGAGCTTTAGCCGCTTGCTGATCCCTTGCTTAACCCAAGCCTGGGGTGAAGCTCCGCTAAAAGAAGACGACTCTCAGGACATGCTCCTCCTCTCACTTCTCGGAGACGCCATCAAAAGCGGTTGGTCGCCGGAAACTGAAACTTCTGGGGAAAACCCCCCCGAAAACTCAAATCCCGGCCAAAACAAGGCTGATAACCTCCAGATCCACCGTTCTGAGCCGGAAAACCATCACAATCAGCCAGAAACCCAACAGATCGGCCCAAAAACCTTGCAGCAAAACCAGAAGCCAGCAAGGGGAAAACACTATCGAGGAGTGAGGCAAAGGCCGTGGGGGAAATACGCAGCAGAGATCAGAGACCCTGCAAAAAATGGAGCCAGGGTTTGGCTGGGTACCTTTGAGACAGCTGAAGCCGCCGCTCTCGCGTATGATAGAGCAGCGTATAGAATGAGAGGGAGCCGAGCTCTGCTAAACTTTCCATTACAGGTGAGCGGACCCGCTCCTTCTCCATCAGAGAGCAGGAAAACGTCGCCGACAAATGATGCTCAGGCGAAGAGGCCCCTGGAAAATGGACCAGCGTCGCCGGAAAATGACTCCGGGAAATCGCCAAAGCGGAGGAGGGGCCAGAGCCCTACGGCCGAGGTGGGACCCGTCAAGGTAGAGAGCCTTTAGACCCCTGATTGCCACGTGGCATGTGGGTCCGGATATACGGCCTACTTGCTTATGTTAAAATGAAGTGTGGACAAAATTAAAACTGGCCGACTCAGGTAATGGCCCCCCGCCCTCCCCAGGGACAACACGTGGCGATTATACAGTGGGTGCTTGGGATGGGGCTTTAATCCTGCCCGTTCACTTCGCAGCTTGTGGGGTGGGGGCATGTATTGAATTGGGAAATGTAAACTTTGAACTTCGGAGAGATTTTGTAAATTTTTTGTTGAAATTTTGGAGTTTTATTTATTTTTTTAACGCGAAAAACAAATATAGATATAATGATTAAGCCATGTAAATATGAAACCAACTTAACTTTACGTTGCATAATGTTTGACGTTCAATAAATAACGTTGCTATAAAATGTAGGATCTTGATAGAATTTGAAATAAATATATTTTGAAGAATTTAGAAGTGGCACTATTAGACAATAAAATAAGAGATAATAGGTTTAGATAGACTAGCCATGTGTAGTCAACCTCAATGCAACACTAGTTAAGAGATGCGAGTTAATTCAAATAGAGGGCTAAAAAGGAATAAGGAGTAGGCCTAAAATGACATAGTTGGGAACAGTGAAAAAAGACCGACTACAATTTGTGGCCATGAATTAATTAGTTGAGAAAAAACTTTGATGATGATGATAATGAACATATATTTGAAGCTTATCCAGATCACTTAGGCAAAACTAAATAAAGTAATAGTATTGCCCCATAATAGTATACGCTTACTATGAAATCTACATGTGAATATTTGGGGCCCTACAAACTTTTAGTTTTCTTTTAAAGTTCCTTTGGTTGGTGACTTATATAATCTTTTGTTGCAAGACGATTATTGCATATTAAGCCTCATGCTTCTATAGTAGAGAAGAAAACGATTTATGCTTCATTGCCAAGAGAGATAAATTTTAGATGCAAAGGAGAGTAAAAAAGAGAGCTCTAAATGGGTAATAAAAGGAAAATTATAAACTAAAAATATTTACTTTTTGGTAAAAGGCCATAACCAATGTTGGCATTTAAGTTTTGGATTGGGTAGCTAGGGCCAATGATGCAAAATTCAAAAGATAACTTATCGAGCTGTGTCTAAATGTGATTAGTACATCTCATAACAAAGGTAAGTGAAATTAGAATAAACAATCCTGTAATAAATAAAAAAAAATGCAAAATTTGAGGTATTTTAATTATTCTCTAAAATTATAGAAATGAAGGCATATAATCAGGTTGGGTCTAGAACTATATACTTTTGGTAAAAGTAGATCACAATAATCTTTAGTCATCAAATGCAAAATGAGCCTTAAAGATGTGATAATATTTGAGATTTTTTTCTTTCTTGAGCCCAAATTCAGCTCTATAATAACGTTACCGCCTCAAAAGTCTATGTCGCTAAATGAACTCTATGTGACTAAGGGGGACAAAAAGGGGTTGTGAATTTTGAATTTTTGATTCTCTATCTCTAAGTTTCCTAAAATCTATCTTAATAAATAAGAATTCTACCTAAAATAAAAATACAAACTCCCATTTAAACAAAAATTCGCAGCCCCATCCAAGTTAAAACAAGAGCCCCTTATATCATTCACTCAATAAAAAAAAATACCAAAAATAAAAGTAAGGCTCCCTAATTATGGAATAGGCCCTCAAGATGGAAATTTAGAAAATGAGCAATGTACTTTCCATTTTACACTCACTTTCTACTTTTTTTTGTGTTGCATCATGTCGAGAGACCTTTCAGACATTAAATGTCTATACCCTTCTTCTATTTTTAGTGTAAGTGAGCTGGTATACATCTAAAATATCTTTCATTCTAAAAAAAGTGACAAATTGACAAAGTTTGGACGGTACAGGTCTCAACCTATCCACTTCTCATATCTTGTTAAGACATTTAAACTGCTCAACCCATTGTGAAATGGGCGTAAATATCCAATATCATAACCCATCCTTCAGTTACAAATTAAAAATAAACGAACATTAGATCAAAAATATGTCCCCGTTAAGGAATATCCCAGTTAAGAAACTGGATTATCCAAAATGGGGCCACTTGGGTAACAAAAAAGACAAAAAACTAGGACTTCAAACGTAAAACAGAAAATACTTGGCCTTTATTTTAAATTTTCATCAGCTCAAGGCCTCCAGCAAGAATAAAACTTCTCATTAAAACAATTAGATATTTTATCACAATGAACCGAAAAAAAACAATAATATAAGTAATAAATTTAAGTAAGGTCAACTAAGTGACGATAACATAAAAATAGAAAAAAATACGACGACAAATTTAAAGATCAACTTCAAAACTAAATAAAAATAAAAACATACTACTTTTTTTTTTTGAATTTGAACAATAAAAACATACTACTTTCACTTAGATTAAGCAATCCCAAAGGGGAAAAAAACCTCTTTCCATTTCATTTCTCATGTAGAGTATCATGGAAAGAACATGTTATTATGCCAGTTAAAGAACACTACAAAATGTCATACTTCAATTTCTTTTACAAGTTTTTCAATCACATATCACCAACAACCATTCTCAAACATAAAAACAAAAGATATAATATGAAGATTCCGTTTTGCATAATTCCAACTTAATAATTTGATATTCTAGAGACACATAGTACGTATCATTCATTGAGTTGGCAAATAAAACATGTGAATTTTCCATGTGTTGCAATCTACGTTTAACATTATTTCCATTCCACAATATATAATACATTTCATGTGACAAAAACATGAAGAAACAAAAGGGAATCTAATAAAAAAAATAATGAAAACGTGATAATAGGACTTTAGCTCACACGCACATAAATATATTAGTACGGCCATATTCAAGTAAATTATAATCACATGCCTTAGGGATATGAAGAAACAAAGGGAATCAGAAGCAAAAACATAAGACAAGATAACATCATCAATGACATATAAGACCATTTTTAAGGGAATAATGATCACATGCCCTTTTGAGGTATCCTTAACTTTATCTATTAGAGGGAGGAGTGGTCGGTTGGGTTGTTTCGGGGGACATCAACATGAAAATCAACCAAAATTAAAGGTAGGGGTACTCTAGTCATTTTTACTCACTCGCAAGAAAACCAATAAACTATACTTAAATGGGATTGTTTACAATGAGACCATTTATTTTGGTACTCACAATTACTTACGGTTATTCGATGTGAAATCTTATAGTTTGGATGTGTCACAAAGTACTAAAAGTAAATGGTCTCGTTGTGTACTTTTCTTAATTATATTCCCAAAAATAATCTCTCCAACATTCAAGAAACATTCACGAAACGATGCACTCTGCAAGAGCCAAAACCAAAGTAAAAAACAGAAGAAAGAAAGTAATAATAAGATATAAGGAAATACAATATCCTTTGCAAAATAAGAAATAATCTTTTACTCCCTCCAATTTTTCTAAAAGTTTTGGAGCAATAATGGAGAATGTAGTATGAACAGGATCCAAAATTTCGGTAATCAAGTCTCAATGGAGGAAAATACCCACAACCACAAGGACAGCAAAGATAATATATCACTGGAATTCGTCGACAAAATTTTTTTCCGACAAGCCACCCTATACCCGCTTTGACAATTTGGCCCTCACCACTCTCTATGACATCGGTGGCCGTCTCCTGCAATTTCAAGGGTTTAAACCCATGTAAAATTAATAAATCATTTCTATAAGTAACTACTTCCTCAGAGAACAGGGGTACATATAACTTTTTAAAATGCTATTTCCTGTGACTCATGCCATGCACAGGCATGCAACTGACTGAAAATATGGCACCCTCCGATCCAAATGAAGAGCACATATGGCGCACTCTCATGGGAGCACACCAAACACCTACTCTGAGGCACAAAAGAGCCACTTCAAAGATATTTTCGATCTGAACATACGAATATTTTCCAAACAAAGGAAGAGGTCTTAAACACGTAGATCCAACCGTCCAAAAATTGGATGATCAGCATTAAAACAAAAAAAATCTTAAATGTAAGAAAGCATTTTTGTTGCACAAATCTCTCTCTCTCTCACACACACACACACACATATGGTGACAACTCTCTCTCTCACACACAAGAATGAAAACCATAATAGCAATGTAGAGATGGGAACCTCTTTGGCCGGCTTCTATCTTCTTCGAAGTCCATCACTCCACCAGATTCTGAGAAAGCGATCTCCTCGTGGCCTCGCAAGTCCAAGTCGCCCTGCTTACAGTTGGTAACTTCTGCCACCACGTAAGTAAGACACATCGACCGACATATCGTTCCATCCCGATAAGATTTTTCCACTTTTTTTGCATTTTATTTAGTATAAAACATTTCCATACATAAATACAGGTATTTTCCCATGCTTAACATATCAAGAAAAACTAAAATGAAATCTTTCACTTTCCAGCATGCAATGAAACGGATGGTAATGAAGAGAGTGGCACACGATAAAACAAGACATCGCTTCAATAACTCTCCATCATTGCGCATCGTTCCAATTTCCAATGGAGGTAATTAACCCATATGGCTTCCCATTGTCTGTTGGATTATCGTATATTTTACCAGCAACAAAATCAATAAAAGTGACCAATGAAACTGACCTTAATGGTCTTCTTAACTTCCTCGACCTTGTCCTCAATTTCCTTACGATGTTTTTTGTCCAACTCACTCATTGTATCAGCCCATCTAATCTTGTCTTGAATGGTTAGTAGTAGATTATCTGAAGTTGTCAACCTGCAATGATCCCAAGTTAAGAGCATGCATGCACGCACACACATAAATTAAAACAAACCAATTATTTTTGTATCCATTATTGCTATGACTTCTATGTGATAAAAGAGCCTCAATTAAATTTATCATTTAAAAAAAAAAATCAGTGAGGGAATATCTTTAGTTTTAAAAAAATGAAACCGCAAAGTGTACAGACAAGAACGTTGACAGAGAAGATTTGCCACTTCTATTCCATTCCCATAGTAATGCTATATGAACATATCACGTTGGCAACACGGCATGGGTATGGTTTCCCATTAGTGGGCTGCTAAAAAAGAGGAAAGGGTAAGTCAATGGGGATTTGGGCCCTTACCCTTTGGTGAGAATGGAGTCAGAGACTTCATCATAGGGCTCGTTGGTATTACCACAAAAGCCCCGGCCCATTATAAAAAAGGTGGTAAGTCAGTGGGGATTTGGGCCCCTACCTTTTGGTAAGTCGAAACTGTTTCCAAAACCTCCAAACCATGGATATCAAATGATTTTACTCGTTATTTTTCATACAAATGGTTTGATTTTCGAAAGCTCAAATCCTAAACCTAGTTTTCCACCTGAAGAATGATTTCTTCGGTTCTTGGTTTTAATCCTTTTTAACACAAAGCTGGTAAAGAATTGAGAACAAACAAAAATACCTCAAATTTCACAGAAACCGAGCGACAAAAGAGAGAGAATGGGGCTATAGAAAATATCTCAAAAGGGTCCCAGAAACTAGCCCAGATTTCTTCAATTTTGAGTATTCAATGATCTTTAACAAAGATCTGATAGATCAAAAGGCATGAAAACTCAAGTGGGGGTCATTTCTCTATCAACAAGCAACGTTCTTAGTCAAATCAACTGTTTTTTCTAAAACAATCACCGGTTCTTTAACAAAACATGGGGATTTTATAAATCTCGGAAAAATTCTCAGTCCTGTAAATGGACTGGGCCCATCACCTGCCAATTCTGAGCTAGATCGGCATTTTTTTTATTAACACCAACTATCAAATTATTGGAATGATGAGCTTAAGAATACCATTAATGAAAAACGATCATGTTATAAAACTTGGCAGTGTAATATAAAACTAGGCATATGATAACCTATACAATAAACTGGGAACAAGATAAGGTGAAAAAAATATCTTCAAATTACCAAAAATAAGAGAGCAAAAGTGTAGGGATCTAAACCATATTAAATGCCCTAAGAGTGAGGATCAAAGGGTCTTGGTGAAGGATAATGAGGTCAACAAAAGGTGGAGAGTCTATTTTAAAAAATTATTAAATAACGAACAAAATGGGAACATAGTGGTAGAAGGGATTGTTGGTACAAGTGACGGCGGAAGTGAAAGAAGCTTTGAAAATGATGAAGATAGAAAATAGGAAAGGCTTTAGGACTAGATAGTATCTCGATAGACATTTGGAAGTGCATGGGGGAAATTGGCATTGACTAGCTGACGAAGTTGTTCAACAAGTTGTTGAGAACAAAGAAAATACCAGATGAATAGCGGAAAAGTATTGTGGTACCTATTTACAAAAACAAATGAGACATACAGAGTTGTGCAAACTATCGAGGGATCAAGCTATGAAGCTCTGGGAGAGAGTCACTGAGCAACGTTTAAGGCATAAAACGAGTGTATCTGAAAACCAATTTGGTTTTATGCCAGAAAGGCAACAACTGAGGCTATTTTCCAACTTAGGCAACTGATTGAGAAGTTTAGGGCGAAGGGATAAGACCTCTACATGGTCTTTATTGATCTAGAGAAAGCTTATGATAGAGTACCTCGAGATTTGATTTGGCAGGTGTTGGAAAAGAAAGGGTCTCTAGACACTACATCGACTTGGTGAGAGATATGCACGATGGAGCGCTAACTAGTATACGAACTAGTGGAGAGACGAGTGAGTTTTCAGCGACAATAAGCCTATATCAAAAGTCAGTTTTGAGCCCGTACCTCTTTGTCTTAGTTATGAACGACTTAACCAAGCACCTACAGGATGAGGAACCGTGGTGCACGTTGTTCGCCGATGACATAGTTTTGATTGATGAGACCCGAAACGGCATCAACACAAGGACTTTGGAGGGATGCTCTAGATACCAAAGGTTTTAAAATTAGTCGGACTAAGATAGAGTATATGAAGTGCAAGTTTAGTAATAATAGGAGTAGAGACAAGGAAGTAGTAGAGATTGATCGCAAGAAGTACAAAAAAGACCGCAGTTTCGATATTTTGTATCGATAATCCAGAAAAATGGAGAGATCGATGAAGCTGTCGCATACAGAATTAGAGCTAGGTGGGCGAAGTAGAGATGTGCAACTGGAATTTTATGTGATTGCCACATACCAATCAAGCTGAAGGGCAAGTTCTATAGGACAGCAGTAAGACCAGTTTGCTCTATGGGGCGGAATGTTGAGTGGACATAAAACAATATATCCATAGAATAGTGTAGCAGAGATGAGGATGTTGCGATGGATGAGTGGCAAAACAAGAAGGGATAGAATTCAAAATGAATCTATTCGAGAGAATTTAGGTATAGCACCAATAGGCGATAAAATGAGAGAGAGTAGACTTACGTGGGCTAATCATGTGCGGCGACGACCAAGTATAGCACCTGTTAGGAGGTGCAAGTTAGTTCAAGTGGAAGGACTGAAAAGGGCAAGGGGTAGACCCAAAAGGACGTGGTTGAAAGTAGTCTGAAAAGATATGTGGGCTTATGGTCTCACTGAGGATATGGCTTTTAATAAAGCAGAATGGAGAACCAAGATTCATGTAGCCGACCCCAATTAATTGGGAAAAGGCTAAAATGATGATGATCAAGCTATACACAATTTCTTATAAATAAAACCAAGCTACAAACAACAAATATACAAATAAATAAATAAACAAACCGTACCAAGAAGCAACACCCACCTCTCTTCATCCACTACAATTTCGCCTCTAACTTCTGGGTCGACCTTTTACAACTTTTCAATTGGCAGTGGGTGACCCCACCCACAATCCCACACCTTTTCCCCTCCTTGGCCCAGATCAGGCACCCCCCTGTGGAAAGCCTCTGTGGCAGCCACATTATGGGTCATCTGGAATGAAAACCCACAATAATCACTTTAAACATCTATCCCACTCTGATTTTCACCTAAACCGGTCTACTTTGTTGACCTTAGACCGCAAAGAATACCCCATGCCTCCCTGCGGAGACCACCTAATATTGGCTAAATCAAACTCAATTTTGACATGTATTCCCTAGGCAACCCAGGCCCCGCAGGCATTGGCTGGTTATTTCGAGACAAAGATGGTATCACTCTCTTTTCCTTACTCCCATCCCATTGGGATTATTAACTCCATCACTATGGAAGCTCTAGCTCTTCAGGAAGGCCTCGGGAATTTTAACTCATCTTGAGGCCAATGCCTGATTGTCGAGGGTGATTCCAAGTGCGTGGTAACCTGGGCCTCAGGCAACGCCCCATGGCCATGGAGACCCGACAACGTTTTTGATGAAATCTCACAGCACAGCAGGATAGTCCAATATTTTGGAGACACACTAAGAGGGAAGCAAATGGTGAGGCCGACACACTCGCCAAGGAGGGCACCTCACAATCTAGAACTAATCAGCACACCACGCCGGGAACCGTTTAAGCACCTTTTATAGCACATGTTCCCCATTTTCTTTTGTGTATTGTTTGACACTAGCATAGCACAACAACTGTATAGCATTTTTTGGACCCTCAAGGTTTTTTGTACAAGGCACCTGTTTGTGGGTTGCCTTTAATCTTGTATTTCCTCGTTACTTCATTAATACAAAAGTCAACGCATTCAAAACAAAAAATGTACCAAGAACCTCATGGATTTTTGCATCCAAAAGTAAAATAATTATGTTAGTAACTATACATGTAAATAAATATAAATATATAAAAAAAAATTAAAATAAGGCTGCCAAGTAGATTATGGATTGTTGTGCCAAACGAAAAATACCAGGTTGATAATGTCTGAATCATATTGTCAAGCTGCCCAGGTCTTAGATCCCTTCCAGCAGCAAACAGCACCTGTATAACAAGAGAAACACATCCATGAGAGCTGCAAATGTAGTTTCTCAGTGAAAGGTATCACCGGAGTACCAAGTAACTTATGACTTTTTGTATTAAAAGCACTATATACCAGATTCATAGACAAGGGATGTCATAAATATTATGCTCGTCTAAAGAATTGATGAATAGCGACACAAAGGAATAAGACAGATAGGAACATGACAGGAACCAAGAGGCATGGTCCCACTCTCTCTCCCTCACCACCATCAGTTGATCTGATGGTGCCAAGATTTTTATGATTATATGGATCACAGTACAATTCCCTTTTACGTTTACAACACTAACATCGAGACTATACGCCACATGCCAACACACTATGTCTACATTACTCCAATGGGCACCCATCATCCCTTCCCAATTGACTGACAGATGAAATTAACTGCAACACGTGATTATCCGGTGAACTCCACTATGGTTAATCTCCACTATACATCCATTAGGAATGGATGGGGACGCCCTTTTGGAGTACCACACAACAAGCTCTAGCTAATTTCCTACTAACATATCAGAGAAGCAAGGAAGATAGAAGTCCAACCTCGAAGCACCTACGCCACTGATCCAGCTTCCCTTTAACTATACCCTACAAAAATCATCGAAAAAATGTGAATTTTCTCTTGCTCAAATCACAACTTCCAACATAAGTAAACAAACAAACATAAAACCAATATCATCACACCCGAAAAAAGTTCTAACTGAAACTCATCAATAAAGCAACTTCTGAATTTAAAATGTACAAAATAGTAAAGAGAGACCAAAGTTAAAAAACTTGATTATCCCTTTTGGGTGGCAGGGGTTTATAGGAAAGGAAAAGTATTCAGGTCAATGCTCATCCTTGCTGAGCCTATGCACACATACAAATACCACTGCCCTTCGAAGAGGAGCAAGATGAATGAACTTTTTATCATTCTAAACAATCATCCTTTTTCAAAAACAAGTGGCCAATTACACAGAAAAAAACTCATACTTTCCAGCATTATTTTTCAATAGAAACGATATTTTTTAATATCACTATTTATATGTCAAATGATAAGAGTATGCTTACCGCATACATACACTCGTTGATGAGAAAGTCTTCAAGCTCACGCACATTTGAGACATCAAGCTGCTGCATTAGTTGATCATATGGCAATATCTGGTAAAATCGTACATAAAAAAAAAAATCCAAGTCAATCAATATTTATATGGTAGCCTAAAAATAGGCAAATAAAGTTCATATACCAGATCTTAAGTCACAAACATGTACACACACAAGTAAATCATAATTTCAGAAATTATATCTTAACTTGCTTTCATATATCATAGAATCCATGGGCATGTACCTTATTTGTCTCTGCCAATGTGAGTACAGTCAACTGCTTCAATTTACGCACTTGGTCAGGTCCCAGTGGTGGAAGACAATTGGCATTGCCTAAAAGAAAAAAAGGTTCAAGATATATCATATCTACAATTAAATCAATAATAAAAAACCAATACATGGCATCAGTCCAAATATCTACAATCAATTTTAATAGATTGTCTAGATTCATGCCAAGACTCGAGACATTGTCATTCCCAAAGAAGATATTAAAACTTCCTAATTAAACATCTATTAAACAATAAAAAAATTATATTTGGGTGTATTGTGTCCATTGTTGTGTCATACAACACTATTAAACTCATAAATTCATACACGCAGTTTGAAACTTGAAATATTAAAATTATAGTAGATTGAAACTAGCCCAAACTTGAAGTTGAACTTGAAATACAATACCTAGTAACAACACATTTTAGACTCAGTCATACAACCTTCTATGGATGAAATGCTTAAAATATTGTTACATGCCATAGTCTGTCACTCAATCCAATTCCATATACCATTCCCATCAATCATCATATTCCAAAAAGTCAGAAAAGTAAAATGCTCTACAGCAACAAAACATGAAAAGAAATATCACTATCCCAAACTCAAATAGCAAATTGAGTTTCATCATCATTATCATCACCACCACCGCCAGTTCCTTATATACTTTCCAATTTCATAAGACATCAAGTTTACCATTTTTTTTGTCTCCCAAAAAATCTCATGAAACTTGGTATTCAATTAGTTATTCTCTCAAAAGGGTGCACAAGAGCGCTTTCTTTTTCTTTGTATGCCTTTTTATTTTTGTTGTTCTTTTTTTTCTTTTTCTTTTTCTTTTTTTTGTGTGTGTGGTGGGGGGGCGGGGGGGGAAGATGTAAAACGCCCCAAGCCAGGGGCCATTTTCCACACTCAGGCAAGGGCTCAAGGCAGGCCAAGCGCTGGGCAGCACCTCGCCCACCCAGGCAGGTGCCTAGTGTGGGCATAGTGTGGGCCCAAACCCTAGGCACCCACCGAGTAGATGAGATGCCTAGTGCATGGGCCCGCTTCAAGGAACCACCTAGGCAGGCCGACTTTCAAACATTGCTATTAAGTTAAAAAAATCAACTTGACTTTAAGGTGTGTGTCTTGCAGCTCAAAAAAAACATGAGTCCACAATTTAGCATGCATTTCACGCATCTTAGACATACACATCTTGTAACATAGACAAGTGCCACGCAAGTTAGACATGCGCGTCATACAACTGTTTTAGTTGTTAGACATGCGTGTCATACAACTGTCTTACAACTAAAACAAGTGTCTTATAAAGACAAACAGTGTTGGAATGTCAAAAATGATGAACCTTTTTTTTAATATGGGCTCAAAATGTATGACTAGGCATTGAATGCCATTTCGACATACTGTGTCTGTGTCCAAGACTTCAAAATGTGCAAGACACATTCGTTGTTACGTAGACTAATAGATAAGTAGGAGGTTTACATCAAGTTGGATGGAACATATAAAATCAGAGCCAGAATAACACTAAGATAAGCAACATTAGAAACAGAAAAATAGGAAACAAAGATGAAAGCAAGGGGAAGTGGGAGATAATACTTCGCAACTTTCTCTATATCAAAACATTAAAGTACTAGCTTCAATTTTGCTGGAATAAAAATTTAAATAAAAATCCAATTCATATCCTATGGTGGTGACAAGTGTAATAAACAATTCAACTAACGGCTTTAGAGTTGAGTTCAATTAAGCCTAGCCTTCATCATCATCACCAATACACAAGAGGGTTCTGAATAATTTCATTGATGAACTGGCAAATGTTATCTGATTTCAATGGGAAAGTTTCTAATTGTTGTCAACAACCACCCCTGCTCAACCCACCTGTGATCACTTGGCCCTCAAACCATGCACTACACTAAATCATTCCTTCCTTAACCTCTCCTCACAGACTTCCACATTTGCCAGACTATAACACCTCCCATTTCTCCACAAACCCCAGAACCACCTGCCTTGCTGCACAGCCTATCCTTCTAGATAGAATAGCTCCACTGGGATACAGGGTAGTCAAATATTGCCCCAGACTAGCTCTACTTTAATCTCCGAAAACCTAAAAGAGATTTCTCCTATACTTCAAGCTTCTCAAAACTTCCACCATGGAGAGGGAACATGTGCCTTAAACCATGTCCAAGATCATGCATATCGAGACTTTTGTTTTAAGACCAGGATGCCAATCCATCACTAAATATCAGGCTTGTCACTTTTGCCTCAAAGCAGAGCTTTCTCATTTAGCCCACCCGCTACTATTTGCTATAAGGAGCTCTGGAGGGTAAAACTAACCAAATAAGCACTAAAGCAAGAATTTGAATTTTATCAAAGTGCATGTGAAGAACAGTAGCGATCCAATCCAGTCTTATACCTGGCATCAGCCCTTGAAGCAGGAATTAGACAAGATACATATAGACCCAAGACAGTCTACCTTGCACCTGATAATTTCTAGACCAGGAGTTAGATTCCAGCATCTCTTAAATATAAGGTCATGAACAAAAGGGTCAGTTGGAAGAAGATCCAGAATCTGGGTGCTCTCCCTGACGGCAATCCTAGTGGATCCACTCCTGAGTAAGACATATAATCATGTTTTCGCTTTCCATTCTCCCTCATCTTTGTAAGCATTAACACACATCATCCTTCCCACCATGCAAACCCGCAAGAAGCATGTAAGGATTCAGCTCAATAAAATAACATATTTATATGGCATATGGAAAACATTTTTTTTTTCTTGATCAATACAGGTTAGATTGATGAATAAATATGTAAATAGAACACATTCATATTATTAAATAATGAAATCATAAGTTCTTTTAGAGCCACATTTCACGAGATACCATGTTATTAACCACATGAAACATCGCATTATAGAAAGAAACCAATGCATCATAAACTCAACAGGCACGCATGAAAAGTATTAACAATGCAAGAAAACCTTTAGCCCACATGACTTCTATCCGACATACAAACATCCGGTTTGAATGATTATTGCAAAATAACTTATAATATAGGAAAAGCTTTACAGTCTACAAAAGGTCAAGTTGCAGTACAAGCCCAAAAATTAGTAATAAAGCTCACTCCTACTCTTCTCTTCCAACATAGGACACAGCTACACTCCTCAAAAGTCAAAACCCACAAGGCACTTGAGACTTAGAGATAGAATCCGCAATCTTCCAATTAAAATCTATGAAGAAACTATAAGCATGCATATATTTACAAATCTTCAAACACAAAGCACACATATTTTCACCCACATATTATCCAATGCACAATCAAAAGACTCATTATGACCACAATATGACAAGCATTATATTCTTTCTAAGCAGCCAATCCATTGGGGAATGCAATAGAAGATACATTAACCGCTAAGGGCATCACAGACGTTTTCTACTTAAAATATGGGATTATCTACTGCCATAAGCATGTAAAAGTGTAGAATTCTATATCTTTCTTTTACATGCGTTTATATCTAGCCTTGACTATTTTACTCTCACTCATGCGGAAGAGGATTGTTACCATTTGTTTCACTTAATTATGTCTTACCCCATCACCACCCCCAAATACACATACATACACACACACACACACACAAAAAGATATGGGGGCTTAGGGTCTTACTTACGATATGGCCCTTGATAGAGTAGAATGACGGAACAAAATTCGTGTATCCGAACCCCAAATAGTTGGGATAAGGCTCTAATGATGATATATATGATGCAAACAAAAATGAGGGCTGTCAAAATTTTATTTTATTTTATTTTATTTTATTTTAGTGTATTAATTGTTTGTTTTAGGAATAGGAAGTGCATTGGGGTAATAGGTGGGAGGATTTTTTGTGTGTGAGTTTTTGGTGCGTGGTTGTTTTGATGATAGGCTAGCAATTAGGTTGGTTAGTTTTAAAAAGATAAATCTTAAGTTTGGTACAAGTTGTTGTTTTTAGGAGGCTTTTGTGGAACAGATTAGGAACTAAAATTTATGAAGAGATATGGAGGCTTATAGAGATCCACGTGAGAGAAAATAAGGTGATAAGGAAGAGATTAAAATTGAGTAAAGTTGATTTTGTGAAAAGATCTTTTTGGGTGGATTCCCTTACAAACGTTAAGCGAGGGTATACTCTCTCAAACTTTTATTTTATGTTTATTTTTTGGCTTGTTACTATTTCTCCCTACATCAGTTGGTATCAAAGCAAGTAAGATCCAGTCATTGCAATGCCACCACAAGCTAATCCTGCTATGGTAGATCGCCTAGCACAAGTTTTAGAAAATTTGACCAAAGTCATGGAGGGTGTTTGAACCGAGTTGCGTAAAATGAATCGACAGTTTCAACGGTTGAAGAACAACCTTCATCGCGAAGAGGGTGCTTGCAACCAAGAAGATCCGACACCAGAGTTCGTCATAGAGATGAATCGAGACCCACAACTAACTAGGGTTGAAGATCTGATATTAGAGTTCGTCATTGAGATGAATCGAGACCCACGACTAACGACTAACTAAGGGTGCCGATCCTTAATGTGACAATCACATTGTGATGCCAGAATCACGATCTGAGGAACATCCACATCATCTTGATATTCAATTTGATCTTCCCAAATTTTACTACGAATTTGAAAAAGAAAAAAAAAAAGAAATCACGATTGAGCCTAACATTCCAGTGTTCTACTTCGAGATAAACACGAATTATTTGATGAATTAGTTTATTGAAGAAAAGTTACCGAGGTGCATGGCGGGACTACATCACCAATTAGTCGATTGGCTTCAAGCTCAAGGGTGAGCTTCTCCCTACCCCTGGAGAATGATGCAAATAAAAATGAGGGTTGTCAAAATTTTATTTTATTTTATTTTAGTGGATTAATTTTTACATTTCTCTAAAAAAAAAATTGTTTTAGGAATAGGAAGTGCGTTGGAGTAATAGGTGGGAGGATTTTTTGTGCGTGAGTTTTTGTATGAGTTGTTTTGATGATAGGGTAGCACTTGGGTTGGATAGCTTCAAAAAGGTAAATCTTAAGGTTGGTACGAGTTGTTTTTTTAGGAGGCTTT